GTTAAAACCGCCCAAGCCTCCTCAGTTCGCAGCTGCAGCGTCCTGACGGCCCGGAGATGGTCCTGGGGGGGGTCGCACAATCGCGGGGGGCTCCGGTCGCTAGCAAAGGCAATTAGAAGATGAACCGAGCGACGGAGCCACCAGAGAACACCGCCATCATTTCCAGCTCGAAACTCTCCTCCTCGCTGCCGAGCGGCCCGCCTAGAATGGAGACTGCTGAAGACGCCGGAGCCCTCGCGGCTCGGGGCTATCCCCAAAGAGGCAGCCCCTACCGCTAACTGGTCTTTTTGGGCTCCCTGGGTCTTGGGCTTCCCGAGCGAGCCTCTTATGTTAAATTTTGGAATTATTACTTGCGGTTTTTCCTGCATTTTCGCCGATAGTTTTTTAGAGCGGACGGAGCCTTGCAGCCATCTTAATCCTCGCACATGCGCACATGTGCATCTTCTATTTGAATTCCAAGGATTGTTCAATTTATGATGAAATTGATTTGTCTTTCTATTATCATATTTCAGTATATTAAATTTAATTGTTGTCCATATTTTTCAGAGAGCAATTTGACATTAGAATGTAAATCATTTCTTTGCATTTTGAGCATCAATTCTTTTACAATAGGAGCTGAATAACCTACAGCCCCAGCCTGGGTTTCGTCTTTGGTTGACAGCTGAAGTCCATCCCAGCTTTTCTCCCATTTTACTCCAATCAAGTCTGAAGATAACATACGAAGTAAGATTTGAAACTCTAAGGAATTCCAGCCTTATTGGCAAAATAATTACAATTCCACACAGTGGAATACATGGGATTGCAGCCCAAATTACAGAGGAATGCAGTCTGTCTTTTTCTCCACTATAACCTTGTCTATCCATTGAAAAGCATGTTTTAGTTGTGGGGCCATTCGCTTCCTCAGCCCCATTGCAGCTTCCTGCAGCCTCTCTTTCCAACATATGCAATAAACTAAACTAAAAAGAAAGTGGGAAAAGCTATACAGTACAGGCAGACATTTGCTTGCATTCTTTGTGATACCAGTCACCATACTTTAATGCTATGGTAAGAGATTATTTTCTCTTCCAGGCACCTCCAGGCCTCAAAAAGAACCTAATGCGAACATATGAATCTTGGACGCCAGAACAAATTAGTAAAAAGGGTAATTTAGCTCGAGCTCATGCTCTTTTTAGCCTGGCTTGGTTTCATGCTGCTTGTCAAGAACGAAGGAATTATATCCCTCAGGTAAAAAAATGTTTTAATTGCTACTATTTTTTTTCCTTCTCATTTAATGTACTGTTGTGCTATTCAGGATTCTTCCCTGTATTAACAATTATTGTGGATAGTAATTGCTTTCTTGATTGCCGAGATCATAAAAACCAATTCTGAAAATAAAGGCTATAATACTATAAACACCTAAAGGGGATAAAGTCTAATTTAATTCAGTTTTTTTTCCTTCTGTTTAAACTAAGTATTTCTGCTAAGTACTGTAAAGAAATTATTTACATCATACCTATTGTTATATATTGTACCTTCAACTCCTTTGATTTAATCTTATTAACTTCACCCATTTACTTGTGCTAAAATGAACTATGAAAGAGTCAGAATTGATGCTTGTTTTTCCAAACTTCCTTTTTTAGGTGATTGAAGTTGCTTCAAATCGCTGCATGTGTATATTTTAAATGCTTACTGTTTGTTTGCTTTGGATAAGTGCCTTAAAGATGGTGGGGGAAGAAAGGTTCATTTTTCAAAATTGATGCTTTGAGGCCGTGGTGGTTTAAATAAGTATTTTTTTAAATTTTATTTTCATAAAACTGAGTTTATCTTATGTTGTCCTTTTCTAATTAATTACATCCTACATATTTGGTATCTTAAGTTCCCCTTTGAACTTTAAAGATTTTTTTTCCTCCCACCAAAACAGAAAACCTGTTTTATAGCCTTATAAAATTAATTTAGCCTTCTCCAACTCTACAGCATTTATGTAAATTCTGCAAAAGTACCTTTGAAGATAGAGAATCTGTAGCTTACGGGCCACAGGCTAAAAAAACATCTTCCCACCAAACTTATTTTTCCCCCTGACATATATTGTCGGGTATGATCAACTGGCCTGGGTGTGATAGATAATAGGCTTTTCACTGCTAACTCTCATGGAAAATTAAGAATGTTGAGCTGATTCATCAGGAACGAAGAATTTGAGATGCAGATTCTGTATACCCACATATCTCACCAGCAGCCTGATTCGGATTTTTGTTTACTTCAGTGAGAAGTCTTTGATTTGAAAGCCTGACAGTTTTAAAAAAGGACTGGAAACCCGTCTTCCAGTAACCTACACTAGGAATCAAAAAGTTTGCCTTCCCAAATATATACTGTGTCCATGGAAATCTATGTTATTTATTTATTAAATTTGTAATCTGCCCATCCATCTACCAAGTGACCCTGGACGGCTTATGATACCATAAATAACAGAATAAAGCATTTATAAGATTAGGCATTAAAAGCTAAAGCAATTAAATTAATATTAAAACAGATTAAAAAACCAATGCCTAGACAAGGTGGAGGTGAGATGCTGTACTAATCTACTAGCCACCTCCAAAATGGTGGATGCCAAGCCAGTAGGCAAAACTATGGGTTTTTGTTCTTTCTCAAAGTCAAGAGGGAAGGGGCAAATCTAACTGGGGGGGGAGGCATGATATTCCAAAGGGTGGGAACCACGATAGAAAAGATTCTTCTCTTGACCCCACGAGACACAATTCCTTGGTCAATGGGATCTGGAGCATGCTTCTTCTGCCAGAGCATGTGTGTGTGTGTGTGTGTGTGTGTGTGTGTGTGTGAAAGTTGACAGTTCCCAAGAGAATTTAATTTACTTGGCATTTAATTATTTTATTCTGCTTTCCATTAAGTTTTTCATATGAAATTTGGCATAGATGCCTTTGAATATTTTTTTAAGTGATATGTGACATGGACATTTAATATTTACCATTTGCTAATCCTTTTTCTCAAGGGATGGACCAAATTTTATGAATTTTCTTTATCTGATCTTCGTGCAGGATATGATATTATTGACAGACTCTTTGATGGTGAGTCGTCATATCCTTAAGGAACCCTTGTTCCATTATCTGGCTTAGCTTTCTGAAACAATAAATATGTAGGTACTTTATTAATTATGATGTTTATTGCTCTTGAAAGTTGGCTTCAAATTAATTATTAAAAAATGCAGGAGTGTACACACATTAATGATTCATGAGTTTATTCTATATAAGAAAATCTTTGTACAACAATCTGGAGCTCATAGCTAAGGGTTATATGAACAGTTATATATATATAAAGGATGGCTCTGAATAAATAAAGATATTAATATAATTGTTCTCATAACTATGACTGTTGTCCAATTATAGATTTATATATTTATTTACGCATATATTTAGCAGTTTTGAGGGAATATAAGGAAAGAGGCAACTGACTAGAATCCATTGGGCAATGTTGTTAGGGCTCCATAAGGATGTATAATGTGGAGAATGTCACAATTAAATGAAAGCCTTCAGTCATCTGCATAGATATGAGTCATATGGGAGCAGAATTTATTGCTTTCCTACATTAAGTTCAAGTTTAAAAATAATCTACCATCAAATCATTGCGCTACTTTGTAACCTGCTTTATATTTACTCATTTCAGGTACCAAAGATTTTCAGTGGGAGTTTGTGCATGGCTTATTGGAAAATGCTATTTATGGAGGTCGCATAGATAATTACTTTGATATGAGGGTCCTGCGATCTTACCTGGAACAATTCTTTAACTCCAGAGTCATTGCTGACTCAAATTTCCGGGGCAAGAAGATGAGCAGATTTCCTTATTCTATTTCTCTACCTAGCTCTTGCAATATATTGGTAAGTATGTTCCCTACTTATCAGATGGTCACGCTAAAATTAATTCTCTTTGGCTTTATTAAAATGGTAGAATATTGTTGTTTTCGATTCCCAAAGTAGCTATTGATGCTATTGATGATGTGTTTTATCTACTGACCTGTTAAAAATTATTGCCCCATAAGTCAGACATGTCTGATTAAAACAGGAACTTTTTAGTAACTACCACGTCAGTTGCATTGTCAGAACTTCCAAGCACAGCCTCTCAGATGCACACATATACACAGAGTTTGAACATGAAAGGAGCCACAGTTTTAAGCCCCCCTTTAACGTTGTTGTTAACCAAGAAACAAAACTAAAAGCATGTATTTTAAAATCACTGTTGACAGTCATTTAGTTGGCCACTCTATGGATCAGCACCCTCCATGCCCCTCTGTCTCAGATCACCTGCTTCAGATCCACCATGGTCATCCCGGTGTCATCCTTTATAGTGTCCAGCCAGCTGATGCTAGGGTGACCCCTTTTATTTTTCCCACTGATCACTCCCAGCATGATTGACTTTTCAAGTGAATCAGTTCTCATGGCATGACCGAAGTATCACATCCTCTGTTTGGTGATCTTGCCTTCAAGTCGTACATTTGGTGAGGCTCAATCTAGGACGTCTTTGTTTCCAATCCATGGGATGCATAATAGTCACCCCCGGCATTACAGTTCAAAAGAATCCACCCTCTTCCTATCTGCCTTTTTCAGAGTTCATGTTTCACACTTCTTTCAGCTATACTTTTAACTTAAAATAAAGTTGAGTAATAGTTCAACTATTATTCACTAGTTGAATAATAAGCTTAATAATAGTTTCTGTTTTTTCTTAGTTTTTAAAGATGCATCAATCATTGTCTAGCACCTTTTTAGATTTAGGTAACTCCTTAAGATTGTTTTGGCCGGCCAATGGAGCAGATGGCAGACTCAGACAGTGAGGAGGTTGGGGAGGAACATAGGCCAATCCTGGAGTCTGTGGAAAGCTCTGATGAGGGCTCTGCCTCGGAGGCAAAGATGGGGCCAGGGCCTTCCGGCATATATCAGCTGCCTTTGGAGTCGGAGAATGAATGGGACCTCCCATAAGGAATAAAGAGGAGGAAAAGGGGAGCGGAGTTTGCAGGAGACAATTAATACGCTTAATTAGTGTAAAGATTTGTCTGTGACTCTCAGAGACTCCTTACCAAGTATTTTCTTCTACATCATTGTTTTTGGAAGATATGGGCCTGGCAGCTCTCCAAGCCTGATAATGTCTGTGGTTGTAATTCACCTTTGAAAGACTGTTTGCTGGGACTTTGCTAGATGTGAATGAGAGGAATTCATGTTAGCTTAATAAAAAGGATTTTGTTGAGACAAGGAGTCTGCTTTGTGATTTTGTGAAGCCTAGGTCAGAACAAAGGATTATTAATTTAATAATCTAAAATTTATTTCCAAAATATATAAGCCACATATTTACACATGTTTACTGTTACTACTTTCTACGTAGGATTATCGCCATGTGATTGAAAGCCTTCCAGAAGATGACAAGCCTGATTTTTTTGGTTTGCCTGCCAATATTGCACGTTCTTCTCAGCGAATGATCAGTTCTTTGGTAAGATTTAGAGTTTTCCTTATTGGTAGAGTTTTGTGGGGAAGAAGTTAATTACTATCAATAATGCACATATCATTTATAAAGAGACTGTGTCTTTTTATTGTAAGTTAAATCAGTTTTCCAAAAATCCTGGCATACATTATATTCCACCAAATTTTAGTTAAAAAAAAAAAAACCTCTTCACTAGCAACATTCCATGTTATGAAAGAGCTGAACCTCAAACAGAGCATGTGGTAACTGTCTGTGCACATATTGAATGGTTATCAGCTTCGGGTGTGTAAACCATATTGATTCCTTAAATATGAGAAGTGCTTACTACTATAGTAATGTATATTCATGAAGACGTAAATGTTTCTCAGTAGTACAAGTATTTCCTTATTGAGACAATGATGATTATAATTACTAATCCTGTCTTCCCATTGTTCTGCTGGATAACAAGAGACAGGATCTGTAAAGTTTTTTTTATAAATTAAAACACTCTTTTCGAGACATTTCTGAAAAATGTCTTTGTTCACACATTTGTGACGTCCCTCTGTTTAGAATCACATGCTACATTTTAGTAGATTCCTTAGGGATTTCTAACAAGCATTTCTTTGCTTCATTTTTTTAAAAAAAAGTATAGCAAAACTGAATAAAATTAGCAAGCCAATTGTCCTCTGAATTTTGTCTGCCTAATTAATGTCAGAATGGAAAAGCCAATTAGAGCTGAAACCAAGTCCAAAGAATGAGAGAGAAAAAAATCACTCCTAGATCAGTACCCAGTGATGTGCAATCAGGTGAGGCAGGGGAGGCACAGCCTCACCACTCACATCATGAAAAGAAAAAAAAATGTAAAAGGAAAAAGCTGAGCTAGCTGCTGCCTCACCGTGGATGACTCTGCTTAACTGTTCAAAAGAGCCGCTTAAAAAAGCGCCCTCTACTATGAGGCAGGAGAACGGTGTGCCTCATTATCTAGTCTGACTTTAGCCGTTTTATGATTACTCAAGCAGATTAAGCAAGGGTTAAAAGCCTAAAAATTCCTGACGTTAAGTTAGGCACGCTGTTCTCCTGCCTCATAGTAGAGGGTGCTCATTCTTCCTGTGACTCAACGGCATCACAGCTACCCCCTTCCCTTTTTCTTCCTTTCTCGCTTGCGATACAGTGACAATAAAAGGGGGAGTGCAGAGATGTACCTTCATCTCTTCATTGATTTCCCTTTTTACAGGATGAGCCAGTTTCCTGCTTCTTTCATTTTCTGGAGGCCTCACTTCTTTCTCCATTTCTGCTATTTTTTATTTTATTTTGGTTTTTTGTTTGGTGTGTGTGTGTGTGCCACGCACGTGTGTGTGTATGTATCTACTTTGGTGGAGATGAAATGGCTGCTGGTATTATTTGGGAAAAAGCTTTTGGGGGAAGGTTGTGGAGAGGAAGGGAGGGAGGACGGGGGTGGCTTTTAGCACTGATTTGTTTCCCTCTCTTTTCTCTCTCTCTCATTCTCTTTCTTCGGCTCTCTTTCATTTCTCTCTCCCCCTTCTCTCTCTAATTTGTTTCCCTCCTCTCTCCCATTCTCTCCTGCCAGCTCTCTTTCATTTCCCTCTGTCTGTCTCTTTTTCTCCCCTTTTCTCTTTCATCTCTTTTTTGTGCGTGCAAGCAAAATACTCCAGGATCGTGGTGGCGGGGAGGGGACAGCAACTCCTTCCGCTTCGCTGCAGAGAAGAGCCACACTGTGCAGGAGAGCCGCGGTCCCCTTCATGTTAGCTCAGGAAGGAGGGGAATGGGACCGCGGCTCGCGCTGACCTGAGTCTAGCGCTGAGGAGTCGCCTGCACAGTGTGGCTCTTCTCCGCACTGCAGCAGAAGGAGTTGCTGTCCCCTCCCCTTACCTTATGAATATGGACAATTATATCTTCAGGCATGCATTATTTAAAGCTGTTAAATAGCATTTAAAAACAATTCACAAAATATGGATGTTTAAGAGAAGAGGGTTGTCACTGTTTTATTACCAATAGAATTGTAAATAATTAACCAGATTAGTTGTAACAGGTATCTTTCTATTTACAATACAATACAATAGCAGAGTTGGAAGGGACCTTGGAGGTCTTCTAGTCCAACCCCCTGCCTAGGCAGGAAACTCTACACCTCTTCAGACAAATGGTTATCCAACCTCTTCTTAAAAACTTCCAGTGTTGGAGAATTCACAACTTCTGGGGGCAAGTTGTTCCACTGATTAATTGTTCCAACTGTCAGGAAATTTCTCCTCAGTTCTAAGTTGCTTCTCTCCTTGATTACTTTTCACCCATTGCTTCTTGTTCTACCTTCAGGTGCTTTGGAGAATAGCTTGACTCCCTCTTCTTTGTGGCAGCCCCTGAAATATTGGAACACTGCTGTCATGTCTCCCCTAGTGCTAGAAGTGAATTCCATTTCCGTAACAGATTGAGAGCCAGTTTGGTGCAATGGTTAAGGCACCAGGCTAGAAACTGGGAGTCTGAAAGTTCTAGTCTTGCCTTGCACACAAAGCCAGCTGGGTGATCTTGACCTTTCTCTCAGCCTAGAAAGGGGGATATGGCAAGCACTTCTGAAAAACCTTGCCAAGAAAAATGGAGGGACTTGTCCAGGCAACTCTTCAAGAAACTGAGACAATTGAATAGGAAGGGGGAAAAAAACTTAAGCTGATACTCATTTATGCAGTTCTTTCGGCAATCTCAGTGGGTGCAAGGGAGGAGATTAGGACTCTTATCACTCATTGTGAGAAGGAAAATGTCACAGTAAAGTTTTAAAAGGAATATAGTAAACTCCAGGGAGTACATGTGCACATTTATTCACTAGAGCTTATATGCCATTACAGTCCAAAATGTCGCTGAATGGATTAAATACTGTGCATATCACAGTTTTTAAAAAGTAAACAAAATTATGGCCTTTACCAAGAGAAAATAGACTAAAAAAGTTAAAATGATTTTTTAGAACATAATGTTATCTGTTGTGGCCCAGCAGTGACCGGCTGAGCTGTTGGCTGTCTCTGACAGCGATGACCATTATGGGACTGCTCTGGAGTATGAAGAAGACTCTGGAGGGTGTTTGGAATCAGAGCAGGGACTAGAGAGGCCTGTTGGCCACCAGGTGACATCTGACTCAGGGAGCAGTGAGGAGAAACAGAGGGAGGTTTCCCCTGATATGCGTGTGCGTAGGGCTGAGAAGAGAAGGGAGCAGCTGTGCAGAAGACATCATAGAAGGAAATGGGGACAGGTGACTAGTGTTGTGGCCCCTCCCAAAGAGCTTATAGGTGGAGCGACGGGAGGGGAATCTTTGCAGGAAACAACAGTCCACTTTACTAGCCATTGAGAAAGCATTCCATCTAATCTTGGTTTCTTGAAGATAGCGCTCTAGGCTCCTAGCCAAGGGGTGGCTTTATCTCCTTATTTAGTTGTGGCAGACAGCCAAACCTGTGTCTGCATATTTATTAGAATCACGAGACAGAACAGTTATCTTTCTATCTATCTATCTATCTATCTATCTATCTATCTATCTATCTATCTATCTATCTATCTATCTATCTAT